CGGAGTCCTGAGAGCGGGTGGTTACATCTGTTGCTGGCATATTAGACGGCCTGCCTGCCTGAGGTCTCCGACATGGACGGCTGATTTGAGTGATATAGTAGGAGGAACCATTGCACCAGATATCTGCATGGGCGCCAAAGTTCAGTCAACCTGTACGGCCTTCCTAAGTAAGAGCGTGTTGCACGCCATGGACTGTGTTTCCCCTTCTTCGTCTCCGAGCCTTCCCCGAATGCTCCCATTAACTCCTTAGCGAGTTCCGTTTGGGAAAGGGAGCAAAGAGTATCCGTTATGAACGACGAACAACCATCAGTCAAAAGAGATTGTTTTCAATAAAAACGAGCGATTGAAACATTGACTTTTGCCCTCCTCTGAGATTGTGTATCCTGTCTTTTGATAGTGACTCACCTGGGCGATCCTTTGCGGGGCTGCCAATCCACGGTTATTGTACCAGTATTGAGTATACGGGCCCTAGAACCGGTCAAATCAGTGCTCGTTTGGATATGGAGGATGTCATACCAACACGGTACATTCAGTTTGGGCCAGCTTGCTGCTGTGAACGATTGAGCTTCATTTCCTCTAGTTCCTGCATTGGCCTCGGATGTGGTGGTTCTGGTCAAGAAAGGAAGCCGGCCCCGAGAGACTGAATTACCAATACCGCAGACGGCGTCCGACGATTGCCGAAGGTCGTGGTCGCCGTCATGAGTGATGACGCGGACAACGCGACTCATGATCATCCACTCTCAACTCGTCTGAAGCGACCGCAAGACGACCGTCTTCATCCTCGTCACTTTTTGCCTATACAAAATACTGGAAAATATGCAGGTGTGTCGTTCGCAACAGTTGATACGAATTTCTGCCGACTATGAATACGTCGAATTAGCAGCGTTCAAATATTGAAGCTGAAGCTCCAAGGTGTCAAACTCAAAATTAGCTGCTGGCTTTGCTCTAGCGTTTAGTGTGCTTTGGCTCGTGTCGTCCGTGCGTCGTGATGCTGTACATAGTAGGAAGAGATTCTCGTCGAGTGTCCCAGGGTGCGTAACTCAAAATTCGGATGTGTTGTCTCTGACTGACATCCTGATATCTTGTGGTAATCGTAGGATATTGCTGGACGAACTACCAACACAGAAGTACTGGGCCGGAAAAACAATACCCAGCATATTGGAGAATCTCCCCGATAGGTGTCATACAGATGATCTCAATTTGAATGCGCGTTTTGTTGCACCCCTCGCTCTCGAGGGCTCATCGGAATCATTGCCTACCACTTGGTACATTATACCCTTTTCAAAGGTCTTTAGTCTGTAATCAGCCCTCGGCTCGACAAGTTTGTCTGTGGTATGGCCTTTGATCAACAAAGGGAAAATCGTAGAAAATGGTGAGTTGCTTGCAACAATTGTCCCGGTTTTTGCTCGATTTTGCTCATCGCAAACGACAGCATTCACAATATGAAGCCAGATACTGAAGTATCGAGTTCGAAATCAGATTCTCACTCTGTTATGGCATTAAATTTTCCTAAAGTCGTGCTTATGTACCATTACGCTGCAATTCTAGTAGGAGATTCGATTTGAGGGTATATGACCCCATCACTTCTCGGATGCATTGCGTTTGACGGTCATTTTAATGTCTTGTAGTAGTCGTAAAGTGCGACCGGAATGGAATACCAACATAGGCTCTCCATATTCGAAAAGCGCAAGTTCAGGTTCTACAGTACGACCCTGCCTGCCAGATAGGTCATAACCAGTTTCCTCGAAGGTTTAGCTTTGGTTGAGCTCTGAATCACTCTCGAGCCTCCATCGCGTGGGTACAAACCGAATGTCAGAGAGATTCCACCCTGAAATCGTCGGCTTCATTCACGAGTACGTCCGCTTCTTGAAGAGCTTTCCGCAAACTGCTAATGATGGACTCTTTACACTATAGGCGAGCGCCAGCAGCCCCATGGACCAGCACTGGAGATCTCGTCCGAGTGATGATTCGGGAGACTCCAAACTTTGGTTTCAACACGCGAGTGCATCCTTGTATATGGGCAAGTTCAGCACAGCTGGCATGTATGCTATTACTAACACGAACAGAATATGGGCTTCAACATCGCCAGTTCTGCAGCACAAATATCCCCAATGTGCTTTTTCTGTTTTTTTGCCTTGAGGTCGGTATCCAGTATTCACTTCATCTCGTCTTGCCGGCTTTTTATCACCGTATTCTAAATGATCTCATTCCCGCTCAAACATTTGGCATGCATCAATGCAGTCGGCGGTCGCTTGGATTGGAGGCACCGTTCAGCCCTCTTGCATCGACTCTCGGGATCCCGCACTAATCCCAGCTCCATCTTTGGGTCAACCGCGTCGCAGTTCAAGACGCGAATGGCACATGACAAGATGTTCTCATCACGGGTTGGGTTCGTGAGCCCATTGTCACCGTGTGAGAGGTCACACCACGTGGTATATAACCGTCACATAAACCAGTTGCCCGAGTCCAGGTCGCGTCTTGCACTTTCCTCTTCCTCCCCACTCTCTTTTCATTCTCTCTCACTATCTGTCGCTCATATCCTTACCTCTATCACTTCACACGACTCCGATCACGATCCATCATGAGCCGCAAAGGAAAAGAACGTCAGAGAGACGACGATAACTCGGACAAGAAGGATAACCACAACGACAATTCGGAAGAGAAGACAAATCTGGACGAGAACGGGAATCATATACCACGTCCTCCAAACATGTTCATCTTGTTTAGGAAGATTTGGTGCAAGGATCCAGAAATGAAGAGAAAGTACCCGGACAATAAGCAGATGTCTAAAGTCCTTGGTGAGAAATGGAGGGCGTTGTCACCTGAGGAGAGGAAATGGTACAAGGATGAGGCAGCGAGACTCAAAAAGGAACACAAAGAAAAGTATCCTAACTGGGTTTTCAAACCAACGAAGCCTGTTAACGGCAAGAAGAGGAAGAACTCCGAAGATGACGACGAGGTCGAGGAGATCGAGTCGCCGGCTGCTTCGTCGATCGAGCAGCCAAAGCCGAAGCGAGTCATGAAGGAACAGTCGACTTCCTCTGTAGGTCCCTTGCAGGATTACGAGTCCGTCATGGACATTCCGGCTATGCCTCAGCCGAGTACATCTCGCCTTCCACAACCCAATGCCGTCCTGCCCACTGAGCTCCGCCGTGCATTGCAGTCGGTGGCCTCTGGTATTACTCGATCGGTACATCCTCAGCCTCGCGATGGCATTGCTGGAGAGATCAACGTTCAGCGTATCGCTCTCCCCTTCACCGATAGCTCGTTGACGACCCCTGGAACCGCGAACGCTAGGTCCCCCGTCGACGGATCCCAAGTCACGCCATGGAATAACGGTATCAGTGATATGAATGGCCCCCATGGTCAGCCTTCCTCTGGCATGCCCCAGAACCAACAACAATCTCAGGTAAGCTCTCAGTTCTCGTTTGTCGCTTCTTCATGCCGATACAGTACCTCATCTTTAGGTTGACTACACGAATCAAGATGGCGTTCGTGACGTCGTTGCAGGCAACAGTATTTACAATGGTTACAACTATCTGCCACAAGGATCTTCTGTCAACAACCAGGTATTTCTCATCTCTATCGTCGCCTTGAAACCTGATTGTTAACCCAGTATTTATCGTCTAGTATAATCCCGCTATTGATTGGAGCCAAGCTCCAGTCAGTTTCCCATTCCCGAACAATTATCATTACCCGTTCTCTTTCGCCCAGGACCTACCGGCACAGAACGTTCGCAACTCCTATCATCGCAACTCCGTCAACGCCAACATTGACGCCAACGGCCAAATACACGATAATGCCAGCAGCCAGGTTCACGAGGGCTACTACCCGAGCCAACTCACCTCCAACGGCTCTCAGCAGTACCAGGATCAACCTGACTTCTCCCAGGGACCCTATTCTGGCTATCTCACACTCGACCCGTCGCTCTACTATACTACCGAGTCCCAGCTACAGTCCGATTTTGGTCCCTTCGTGCCCGACGATGTTCCTGCTTCTCTGGTTGTTGCTGCATCGGAGGGTCATGCCACCTCAATAGAGGCAGTTCAAGACCTTGGTTTTGATACTTCTGGGCTCTTCGCCAGTCAGCAGGAACTCGACGTTAGCAGCGGGTGGGGTTGGAACGACATGAGCGCATACTATAAGAACGGTGATGGGGATGACGAGCTCCAGACTCCTGGTGCTGGGCCGAGTGGAAGTGGGGGTGCGTCCTACTAGGATCGTGGCCGTGTGCTGATCTCTTCCTTTGGGATTTCCGGTATATGAGACTGGATCCCATCTCATCAAACGATCCCTTCCCCGAATATGGGGGAGGATGTCCTCTAAAAGCCTCGACCACGGCCCAATTGCGGTCGCCAGTCGAGAGGTAAGTATCATTATGTCCGTTATTTATTTTTCGTCCCATCTTATTATCGATATATCAAAAACTAAAAGTCGTTGTGCTCTACGTCATTCCCCAGCTCGTGTTTCCCTAGCTTTCTCCTTTCCTCTTTGTACTTTACGCGTCTCATCATCACCATTGCCGTCTCCATGTCATTGCTCTCCTCCTCGCACTTGTATTGTCTTACGGACTACGGTAATCTACGTGCTACTCTACATATCTCTGCCATTCTCATCGTCTATCTGTATCCTCATCGAATCTCATCTCCGCCATCTTCTCATTCTATCCACCTCACCCTGTTGTCTTACGGACCACATACTCCGCATCGTTAATTATATTCTCTCTTGGGTTCAAATGCTGCTGTTGTGTCGTTTTTGTGAAGCTATCTACTTTTTGGATAGCTTATGAATGCGTTGTGTCACACAATAAATGCTGAGTCTGTGTGAGACTGAGCATGTACAAGTCGTGTCAATCACATGTATTTGATTGTAAAAGGCGACTCGAAACTGACTTTGGAGCTTACTGATTAATATGATGAACATGTTGCCGAATCAGAATGCTGTCTTTCGGCATTGAAAGTGAACGAATATGGATCATAAAGAGTCTAGGCCACCCAGCTGGTTCGATGGCGTAGTTGGTTATCGCATCTGTCTAACATACGACAGCCCCAAACGTCACACAGAAGGTCCCCAGTTCGAGCCTGGGTCGAATCAGTCTTTTTGTATTACTTTACTCGTAAGCTCTCTTCAATAGAGCTTCGGTCAGACGGCCTTAAACATCAAGGTCAGTATAAATGCAATGATACACTCTTACGGGAACCGTTGTTTGTGTGTAAAACCTGCATCGAGAACACCGTGTTCAATTAAGAAAAGAATACATCGTTTGACGAGTCAAGCTCGGTAAATACAAACCTAACCGTGAGCGATACTCGTAAATCACCCCCCTCTATCTAGCTACCTACTACCTCCTAAGTTTCGCTACCAAACAAGGTCGCACATACCTATACTCAAGCTCAGCCTGATTCCCATAGGCGATATAATCCATCTTATACCCTCCATCCTCCTCAAGCGGCGTAACCCAAAGCACATGTTCCCTATCCTTATCCTCTTTTAGGTTCCAATCCCCCGCCCCAGGACCGACCTGCGCAACACGTTCCGCGCCATTGATAATCACGGCCCAAGAGCCATCGCCCTCCTCCACATCAACCTGACTCCGGGCGGACAAATCTACAGCGTGATCGACCAACGCTTGATGAGTTCGCTCATAACTATTCGCTTCGTCCAATGCACCACGGATCGAGACTTCAAGGCCAAGAGCTTCGCAAGCTTTTTGGACCATAAGGTCCTCGCCTTTGAGAAGATCCAGAAACTCGGAAAAGCGTGTTTTGTTGGGTACGACTGGGTAGTCGTAACGAAGTCCAAAGCCAATGTATCCGCCATTTGGCATGAACTTGGGGTCGTTGACGAGGTCGGAGAGCGCGTTTTTGAGAGGGGTGATGTCGTGGTTATCAAGGTTCAGCCTGGAAGTTTTAGTGGACTTATCCGAATCCGCGTGGTACAAGTTGTATGTGAGGGTGATTCGATGACCAGATGTGACTGGGAGAACTTCGTGTTCGACGTCGGAGAAGAAGGCGATGTAGGCAATTTCGTCACGCGAGGAGGGTAGTTGGTCTGATTTAAATGTGAACTCTTCACCGTTCTTGCGCAGGACGAGGTGTCCACCGGTGTGGGGAGTGGGGAAGACAACCACGAGAGAGCCGAACATTTTACTGCTACGTGGGGTGTCTTTGTGTGCACGGAAGAAGCCACCCTCACCTGCGAGCAAAGTAAGTATATGTCAAAGTGAACAGCACTGACGAAGGATCAGCTCACCGTAGATGTTTAACTTGTAAAGCTCAGCCTCAACCTCACGGCCGTCATTCTTTCCAAACCCAACCAACAATCGAGGGAGAACCGTAGGAAGAATGTGAGAGGCCTCCAAACTAAACTTCGAAGAGAACTTTTCTGTATCCATCTTGCGAGCCTTGCGATACGATTCATCCAAGACATCCTCGTCGGCACGTCCAAAGGTTGCTGCATCACAAGCGGCAGTGAGAACGTCCAGTTGCGTCGACGTGGCGGTGGAAAGGTTCAAGAAGCTATGGAATAGCGTCAGTCAGATCTCCGACATTGACTTGAAGAAATGATACACCCACTGAGCATCATTCGCCTTGTTCAAGTAGAACATGTGTAAATTCTGCGACGAGAGCTTGACAGTCCCAGAAACCCATGCGCTGGCGTTTTGGACTGCAAGTCGGGCTGTTTCGATTTTCCGCTCGAGATCGCTTTCACCGGCCATATTTCCGATAAGAGATGCTTGTGATCTGTGAAGCTTAAAGTGGAGGAAAGGTCAACTTATAAACTACCGTCGTTGATTCAGAGACTCAGAGTTTCGAGTAAGAGTGTTCGTGGTTGACTATTGCTGTGATTTTGCCGACGGTGCCGTTCGGGTCCAGTCATCGAGCCAGTCATTTCTCTTGCCTCCAGGTAAGAGGGAAGGTATTTTACGTGTAGATAAGCTCAAGACAAGGTCTCAGGGTTGATTGTGTTCTCCGTGATAAACAAACCTTGACGCCACTCGTACGGTCAGGCAACGATGATCATTACGGATGGTATTGAGATGCAGAGTACAAGAAAAAACACACAAGTACATGCGTATAATATGGCGCTTCGGAAAACTTACCGATAACGGACACTCGAAGTGCAAAGACGATTAGTACGTACTTGACAATGAGGAGGCTTCTTGAAAAACTGCAATTGTAATAAGACCATCTGGAGTCGGAAAAAAGACGTTTTTGTACGACTTGCTATCTCGAAGCCTCGTTATATCGTTATTAGCGTCGGACGCACCGAAATGAATCTGAAGAAACCATGAATCTAATGATATTGATATGCTGAGATCCCTCTTGAACTCACTTCATTGGGTTCCTCTTGAATGACGGGTCCTTGAGCGAGGAAAACGATCCAACGAGCCCAATCATAGGTGAGATAGGTATATGATGTGCGCACCGTATCTTGCATGCAAGACCTTGAGCTGATCGAGCTATCACCTATGATAGAATATATCGTAGTAGGCACGATAGTAAGTGGTCAAAGCACCAATGCAGGGACTAGGAAACTTGACTAGAGGGTGAAGTACAACTCGGCATATGAAAACGTAGAGTAGGTAGGCCGCAAAAAGAGCAGCTATAGCGGTAATGACGGCGAGCATATAGAATAAACAGATGAAGAATGGAGTGAGTGTGTGTGGAAGTCGCATCCGTTACGAGCTGGCTGTTACAGCTCCGGCTCTGAATCAAGGAGTCAACGAAGGCTATTTGGCCAGTCCAAGTATCGGAATGAATGATCCAATGCATATTATACCTAGTTTTTCGGGGATGACGAGAACTGTTCCCAGTGCGAGTCATTTCTTGACGACCAAATGGCGGACTAGCAGTCAATTGACTGGGGTGGCTTTTGGAACCCGTCTACAATCCACCGAATGACCTACCTATGAGATCTCAATCAATCGCGATGCCGCTGAGTCCTTTGATAAGAGAGACATCAACAGAGTCTACTTGGCACTCACCTTCATCCTATTCTGAACGGCCCATTGTCTCTATCAACTACATCAGCAAATGAAGGGTCAAATCTCGGATCAATCAGAGGCTTCAGGCGACACCTACAAGGCCAGGTTTTGAAATATACACAGCTGTCGTCTCAATTAGCTGACTTGGAGAACCTCGTGTACACCGAAATCGCGATTGTTAACAACCTCAGAGGAACCTAGTGCTCGAGGACGAGAAGTCCGACAGCTGTAAGTATTCCAGCATCTACCGTTGAAGTGCACTTGAGATACCCACGCCTGATTGTTGCGGGGGGAAACTGCCAAAAGTTGGTTTGTGGCCGTGGTCGTGGTCTCGGGTATAGAGGGTTCAGTTTCCGGCATTGGCCGAAGTCTGAAGTGACACGCGCTCACGCCTCGTGATATTGTCACACCGTTCCTCAGACCTCTCTCGAACGTCTATGTCAAATCTTCACGAAATACCCCGCGTTTCTTAAACAATAACTCACATAGTTCTCAAACCCCAGTCAGCAATGAGCTTCATTCCCTTCTAAACAGTTTCCCCCACACCTTACCTTTAGGAGCTGTCCAAACTATCGGTTGTTGAGCCTACGACGCGTCTCATACGCGCCAATAATGTGCGTTCAACTGTCGAGTACTACCTGAAGCTTAGAGGGAAATGGAGCCGAGGCTGCCTTTTGGCATCAAAGGTCCAACAATCGCGTTAGTCTTTCAAAATCCATTCTACCCAGTCAAGCCTCCGTATCAATTAAATTATGTATGATATGACCTAGACGATACGAACAATGTCCGTACTCCAGTGATCTCTAAACCTCCACCTCTTGTTCAGACTTGCCTGCTTCTGTACGACGACTGAAGAACCTGATGGCTGAAATCAAGTTTGACGGCCCTTCAGAAGTATACCTCGCCGACCCGATATTACGATAGACGTAGCACACCGTGCAGCTGTTTACAATAACGTGAGGAAACAAGCATGCGGCTCGGTATAATATTGGGATTTCATCGATGGAGATAGCGATGAGGAGCCCAAAATTGGTGGCGTTCATTACACTGAAAGCCGAGGTATTAGTTGGTTTCTCCTCAGGGCAGCGGGAGATAAACGCACAAATAATGGAACTGTCCGTCTTCGTACAACGCCTTTGAGAACGTGGGAAGGTTCGCTCCAGACAGATAGCGTCGAATTCTTTTGAACCTCGAGTACTCCGACGACTTGGACGGAAGGTCTGAGATGGTTTCTCCGAAGCTGAACATGGTCAGAAGACGATAAGAGACTGCTATGGATATCGCATTGCCGTTGAAGGTGACAGCAATCAATAGGACTCTGATATGATTCAGATGAACCGTAGTGTACTGGCAGTAGGATGAACCTGGGATGGGGCCTACTCTGACAATGGAGGGACCCAAACTGAATTGAAGGCCGAATATGGACAACCAGAGTACAAAGAAGGCTCTGACCATCCAAGGACTGTCTAGATAGACCGCTCGGAGGCGACAGAAGAGAAGCAAATGAAGGGAAGAGCCGTATACGGCAAAGGTATAGGCAATGAACTGATTGAGGAAAACGCAGTTTGGCACGGGGGCGGCTAGTATCTTGGAGTCAGCTCAACGAGACATAACTTGAGAGCAGATACTGACTGAGGAGTATCGATTCGGAAAGGAGGAAGCAGATGGTGCTTAGTCTTTGTCATGGTGAGTCCAGGACTGGCTGTGGCATAAGGGGCTCGTCTTACCTTATTAAAATGAAAGTTATAGTTGAAACTGAAAATCGTGTTGCGGATAGTCGAAGATAGTCCACACGGAGATTGGTGACCGTGTCCCATAAGAGAACCTCGTAGAACATGAGCCCAGATGTAACATTTTACGAAAACTTGGGGAGCTCACTGCCAAGCATCCGACCGAGATATAGACACAATGTTGAACCTCCAACTGGTTTTTAGGATCATCGATCATTGAACGTGCAGAGGGGGGGATTGAGCGGGGACCGATACAATCGAGATAACCCTCTGGTCCTTATGAATGTCGCGTGAGTGATGCACCGTCGCACTGATAGTGACCATATCTTGGTTCGAGATGAAAAATCGCCTGAGACGATTGGACCTTCGTGACGTCC